CAGACAGGGATTGGACTGGACTGTGGGACATAAAGTGATACTCGTGAGGAGTGTGCCTCTTAGCTCAAGTAGATACAAGAGACCAAAGGGGCAACTTCTGTCCAGAGGTGAGATGGGAGGGCAGAGAGTGTTTGGAGCTGGTTGAATGCATGTGGGACATCAGGGGCGGAAAAGAAGAGTGTGCTGTCGCAGAATGGGGTGAGCAATTAGGGTCACATAACAATATATGTATAAAGTTTTGTATGGGAGACTAACTTGAAATGTAAACTTCATTTAAACTACAACAATTAAAAAAAAGAGAGAGAGATTTAAAGTTCTTGGTATTTGAGGAATGAGAGTAAATTTCTGGTTTGGGCAACTGGGTGAATGATGGTGCCCTTAAAGAATAAAGGAAATTAGATCAGAGGTGCAGTTATTGGGGGAAAATAATGAGCTTAATTTTACAGAAAGAGTTGAACCTTATTATTAATAAATTCTGTACTTGTGAATTTAACTATTTGCTAAAATTTATAGCCCCCAAATCAATACCCACGGTCATGTGCAGAATTATGAAAAATTTTAGTCGTCCAACATGTACAGCAGAATCAACTCAATGGCAGTTTTTTTTTTGTTTTTCGTTTTAAAACGTGCACATTCCCAGCTCAGGTCAAACAAGACAACATTCTGACTTGTTTCTGTTCTCATACTACAAACAAGTATCTTTTTTTACAATCTGTTGTTGTGTGCCATTGAGTCGATTTTGACTCATAGCTACCCTATAGGACAGAGTTGAGCTGCCCCATAAGGTTTTCTAGGCTGTAATCTTTACAGGACTACACTGCCAGGTCTTTTCTCCCACAGATCTGCTGACTTTCAGTTAGCTGCTGAGTGTTTAACCATTGCCCCACCAGGGCTCCTGTGGTCTGTTTAGTGCCAAGTTTTTTGCATTTTTGTGCTTTTTTATGGTGATTTCATTGTTTAAAATGGCTCCCAAGTGTAGTGCTGAAGTGCCATCTAGCGTTTCTAAGTACAAGAAGGCAGTGATGTGCCTTATGGAGAAAATACTTGTGTTAGATAAGCTTCATTCAGGCATAAGTAATAGTGATGTTGGCCATGAGTTCAATGTTAATGAATCAACAGTATATATTAAATGAGGTATCTTTAAGCAGAAACACGCATAAAACAAGATTATGTATTGATCAGTCAATGAAAATGTCATGACCAGAGGCTCACAGGAACCCTAGGAGCAATGGTTCAGTATTCACCAATTCAGTGTTTGAGGTGGCTTTATAGGACATAACTACTACTAATAAAAATTGACGGTATTCAATTTGATGTGCTCATGCAACATTTAAAAGGAGATTTCTCATAGGAAGTTGGAAACTGAATCTAAATTTTAGGATTAATATAGAGTTGTAGATTGGTGGGAACTAAGAGTTAATGAATCAGTTAGCTTTTGTCCAGGACCAAATACATTTATTATTTCTCATACTTCTGTGGGTTGGCTGATGGTTTTTTTTTGTCTGGGCTGGCTTGGCTGATCTCTACAGTTAGCTGGCATCTCATCTGGGACTGGATAGTTTAGGATTATGTGACTCACATGTCTGGTGATTGACAGACTGGTCTAGGTTGGGCTTGGTGAAATGACTCTCTCTGCTCCACAAGGTCTCTCATCCTCCAGTAGGTTACCTAGGCTACTTCACATGATGATCTCAGGGTTCCCTAGAGCAGTAAGAGAGGGCAAGCCCCAGTGTTGTAAATACTTTTCAAACTTTTGCTTGAATTGTTTATTTTGATATCTCATTGACTAAAGCAAGCCATGTGGCCAAGCTCCGGCTCAGTGTGGGAAGATCTTCGCGTTTCTTGGGTCCTTGGTGATCTTCGTGTGTCTTGGCATCTCTCTTCCGCCATCTCTGCTTGCTCACTTGCTTGTTTAATCTCTTTTATATCTCAAAAGAGATTAATTTAAGACACACCCTACACTGATACTATCTTATTAATATAATCTACCACAGTTGAGGACAGTTGAGGGAAAAAGAAGAGCATCAGGGACAAACCTTGAAGCTCTAACATTTAATGGCCCAGATTGTGTAGATACTGGGGTTACAGAAGTAGAATATCTATGTGGCCAAGGGATTAAGAAATCAAAATAGTAGAAAAAGAAAGAGTAGAAATAGAAGTGAAAGAAGGAGTAAAGGATGGGGTCAGACAAGTGACATATAGAGGTCAAATTAGGAAAATAGTGAAAAGTGTTCATGTTTTTAGTAAATAGAACATCACTAATAACTAATCAAGGCAACTTCACTGACGTATTTTTAGAAGGGAAAAGTCAGATGGTGATTAATGGCAATGGATCAAGACAGCCTCTTGACTTCTAAGTGAAGTTAGAGAGGAGAGTAATTAAAGGTTTTTTGTTTTGTATCTTATTACTTTGTTTTGTTTTTGTTTTTTAAAGATGGCAGCTGAAGGATAGGAGCTCTAAATTTAGAGGTACTTTTTCCACATCTCTAATGTATGTAGGAAAAATATTCTAGATATTACCATTTTTACTAAAGTTTAGAATGTACTCTTTGAAAAATGTAAATAATTCATGTCTACTTGTTCTTTGTGTCAAAATTACTTTTACCATTTTAAAATCCTAGTATTAAAGATGACCATTTATTTTATTGATAGGATCGGAAAATAGAAGATCTTCGACAGTGCCTGAACAGGTACAAGAAAATGCAAGACACAGCAGTACTGGCTCAAGGTAAAAAAGGTAGAGCATAGCTCTAAAGGTGTTTCTGCTTCACTTGATTTTAAGGGACTATGAACTTATACATTTAGCCTCAGTTTCTGTCTTGGACTGCATCTCTTGTCCCAAATCAGGTAGTTCATTCGTTCATTCAACAATATTTATTGGACAACTGTTCAGTATGCAGGCTGATGAATGTACTATAGATTGGTTGTTCAGGGAGAGTGTCTCTAAGGAGTTGATTAGATAGCATTCCAGAGAGAGAGAGAGAGAGAACAATAGTATATGCGAAGGGCCTGCGGAGGAAAAAGAACTTGGTGTGTTTAGGAAGTAAAAAAAGATCAGTATGGCTAGAAGATAGTGAGCAGTAGGGAGAGTGAGATGAGATGAGAAAGCAGGAGTGAGCAGAGTCAAGTCATGCAAGGGTTTTCAGGCACAGTGAGGAGTCTGGCTGTTGTTCTAAGCACAGAGGCTTTAACAGGTTAGTGATGTGATCTGTGTAGCAAACGGACCACGGAGGAGAGGAACAGTATTGGAAGCAGGAAAACCAGTCAGGAGACTTGCAGTATTCCTTGTGAAAAAATATGATGGTACTGATTGGAAATATATTTTGGTGATAGAATCAACATGATGACTGGTGATGAGTTAGATGAGGAGAGTGAAGAATAGGAAGGAATCAAGAAAGACAGACATTTATGACTAAAGCAACTGGGTGGAAGACTCATTTACATACGATGGGGAAGACTTAAGAAGGAACGTTGGGGTGGCTAAGGGGGATTGACTTCAGCTTTGGATATGTTAAATTCAAAACACCTGTGAGACACCCAAGTAAAGATACTTCTGCATTTTGTTGTATTTATTATTCATTTATCTGCTGATGGGCCAATAGTCCATCTACAAATGTAGAAAAGTTTTGAGGGTCATTCAAAACACGCTAAAATGTTAAGAACTTTGAAAGTGCTCTTGTCTATTAGCAATGCATAAGTGGGCTTATTTGCTCTAACCGTGTCTTAGTTATCTATTGCTGCTATAACAGAAATAGCACAAATGGGTGGCTTTAACAAACAGAAATTTATTTTCTCACAGTTTAGGAGACTGTAAGTCCAAATTCAGGGCGCAGCTCTAGGGGAAGGTGTTCTTTCTTTGTCGGCTCTGCAAGAGGTCCTTGCCTCTTTTCAGCATCTGTAGGCCCAGCATTCCTCTGCTCTTTGGTGATCCTCGTGTGTCTTGGCATTTCTCGTCCTGCATTTCTGCTTACTTGTTTGCTTATTTAATCTCTTTTATATCTCAAGAGAGACTGACTTATGACACACCCCACACTAGTACTGTCTCATTAATATAACAAAGAAAACCCATTCCCAAATGGGATAATAACCACAGGTATAGGGGTTAGGATTTACAATACATATTTTGAGGGGACACAATTCAGTCCATAACAGAGGGTAGTCACTGGAAATAAACAAATCCTTTGGGAGGTTTTGAAATTTTAATTTGATGAGTTCACAAAGAAAGAAAACAGGCCCGCTTTGGACCAGGATTTTTGAAAAAATTGGTACTTCATCTTTTCTTTTACAGTGCCTGGCATATATTAAAACTAAATATCTGAATGAGCAGGTGAACCTCTAATTGTCCGAGTAACTTGTAGCAATTCTCACTACTCATTATTTAAAAACATTTGTAAAATAGAGAATGGTAAAAATCGCTCATAATTCCATTGACCATGATTGCTATTGACATTTTTGTGAATTCCTTTCTAGTCTTTTCTTTCTGTGCATTTAAACATGTAGGTTTTAAAGATGTAGTTTTTTAACCATATGCACTATCTCCAACCATTGAAAATTATGTCCTTTTCGAACAAAGAGTTATATAAACAATTTTTCACTAGAATTTATATTTATCTAATCATCATACAATTGTATAAAACCTAAATTAAGAGGCTTTGTCTAGTTAAGATCTTTAACAATTACATGATTTGCCATTTAGTATTATCCAGAGATTAGCATTTCAAGCACATTCTTTCTATTTTTAAAAAAAAAGAGTATCTGGTACTGTGTTGTTTGGCACTTGATCTTTTTCATTTCTAGGAGTGTAACAAAGTTCTCGTAGTTGCTGCTTTGCTGGCATAAAGGGATCTCCTTGAGGGATAAAAAGGTCGTCTGCCCTTTTTTCTTTTCCTTTTTTCCTTTCTATGACTTTTTAAGAGCATAGCAGTGATGAACATTGAATTGTTTAAATGGTGACTTCTATTGTTATTGTTATTCAGAATCAGTTTGTTACACCACAGGTATTCTTCAGCCTGGTTATTTCTACACTAAAATTCATAAAGCCCCCCAATTTTGAATCAAAATAGCAGGAGAGTTGTTGGATGAAATTAATTTCTAATTTTCTTTCAATCCAATGAGTCAGTGATTTTATCAAATATGACTTCCTCTATTAATAGCACTGCTGGTACTTAACATGGCCAAGAGCTCCTGGGCATCTGGTGTTCACAGATTAAGATGTTGTTTCCTAGGTCCCATGCTGTGTACTTTTCAAGTGATGCTAGGAAAAGGTGACGCTTAGATTTTTAAGATCAGAGAAATGTTTACATTCAGCGTAATTGGGGTTCTTATCTTCCTCCAAAAGTGGAGGAATATAAATGAAAAGCTGCTGTTATCCTCTTTTTGCTGTGTCTTTTTCTAGGCAAAGATGGTGAATATGAAGATCTGCCCAATTCTAGTTCCATCTCCACTTTGTTGGATGCTCAGGGCTTTAGTGATCTGGAGAAAAGTCCATCACCTACTCCAGTAATGGGATCTCCCAGTCGTGGCCCATTTAACACAAGTGTTCCAGAGGAGGTATCTACAAACTTCCAATATTTTCTTCACATTGAAGAGACTCTGTCATTCAAAGTTAAAGCACTGTTGATAATGTGAAAGAAAGAGTTCTTTTCTCAGTTCAATTACAGATTTGGTTTGTTTAGGCGAGGGTTTTTTTTCCCCTCTTTAATAAACACCTTGGCCGATACCCAAATTGCTTATAAAATTCAGAAAAAACATTTGAATCCCTTGAAGATAGATGCCATCTTAAATATGAGATCACAATTTACTTTTTTTTTTTTTTTTTTTAAGCGGGGAATAGATAAAGTGAGGGTAAAGTGAGGTTATATGAATAAATTGGTTTGGTCACTCTGACGGCAACTCTGATTTTCTTTAGACTTGGAAAAATCAACTGGAGAGAAATAAACAACTCATTTGTTTTACTTTTCCAGAAAACTGGCACCAAAATCTGTTTCAGTTACCTATTGCGTACTACCCCAAAACTTTGTGGCTTGAATGACATTTATTTTGCTGATAAATCTGTAATTTGGGCAGAACACAGCAGGAACATGTTTCTGCTCCACTTGGCATTAGCTGGTGTGGCATGAAGGCTGAGGGCTCGAGTCATCTGAAGGCTTTTTATGCATTTGTTTGGTGGTTGATGCTGGCTGTTTGCTGGGACCTCAGCTGGGGCCCTGTCTGGAACAACTACGTGTGACTGCTAGGCTTCCTTACAGTATGGTGGCTGGGTCCTAAAAGCATGCATCCCAAGAGGACCAGGCAAAATTGCATCACCTTTTATGAGTTTTCTCAGAAGCCATGTAGCATATCTTTCACTGTAGTCACAGGCCCAGATTCAAGGAGAGGGAGGATAGACCTTGCTTCTTGGTGGATGAGTGACAACATTGCATTGTAAGACGTGGAATGGGATATATTGGTGCAGCTGTATTTGGAAAATAGAATCTGCCAGTCTACCCTCTGGCTACAACAATTTACATCTCTTTCCCAGGGGGAAAAATGCACTCACCCCCTTTCCAAAGACCCCTATGTCTCATCCCAGTTAGGCATCAGCATCCCGTGATCTTTTCATCCAGATCAGGTCAAGATGTAGGGGAAGCTCCCCAGGTACATTTCCTTGGGTATAGCTTCTTAAGTACCATTTCTTTTGATTTAAAGAATTGGGAACGTAAAGGATAAGCTATCTGTCCCCCATACACCCAACAAACAATGGTGGGATAGGCGTAGGATAACTGCTATAGACACTCCCATTCAAAAAGAGGGAAAATGGAAGGCACACAGCTGTCACTGGTCCATAGCAATTCTGAAATCCAGCCCGGAACATATTGCCATTTCTGTATTAGGGTCCAGACTTCTGGGCTCTTGTTTCTTCCCTCTAAGTCATCCTTCCTTTTTCATAAAAAGTAGCCTATATTTGCAGCTGAGTATTTTTCTCTGCCTGCTTTGTGCCTATAGAAGTTTGAGGGCCTGAAAGCCTCTTTTCACTTTCTACTGTCTCTCTCCCTTTCAGTCTAATTTGATATAATTCTTTTAAAAACTCTTGGAATTTCTTATGAATTAATTTATAATTCACTGCCTTAGATAAAAACATATTCACAAATATCTTTAAAATAAGTCTTTCTCTACCTTAGCTTTGCTGCAAGACTGCTGTGGAACATGCCCTTAAGATTTTTAGAATCTTTCAACCTGTTTAAAAGATTCAGTGAGACACCATCGCCTTAAATCTTCCTGAGATTTTAACAGAGGATTTTACAGCTACATCCTTGACTTCATCTTAAGATCGTGTTTTCTTGACAGAACCTGGGTTTGATCTTTGCTCAGAAGCCATTTCTTACTTTTAATATAATTTGCTGTCTGAAGAGTCTAGGAATTGGGCTAGATTCTAGGAATAAAGCTGTTTTATTTTTGAATGAAACAATCTTGGCTCCTTCATATTTAACAATTCCTTCTTTGGTCATCTCTCCTTTCACATTTTACTACAGGGATCAAGAAGAAACTAAGCAACATCTTTACTTTTTATATCTGCTGCTGGTAATTATATAATGAGAAAATGAATTCAAGGAGAAAACAACTTTTCTCTCGTAAATGTAGAAAAGAGCTAAAATATGTAATTAATGAAGGAATTAGTTAAGGAATAAGAAACATTTTAGAGGGAAAGTATTTCCCTAATTGTTAAATATGTATTTACACTGAAGGGAAAATAACATTTGACAGCTAATGAATGTGCTGTGTGTATAGAGAAGGGCTGCTGTTACATTTCAGAGACACCCACATAACCTCATATTCTTTTAAAAAGTCTTTGCTGTGTGTATTGTAGTTTAATGATGAGTATTTAGTTTCAAACAAGAATTATTTGAAGAAGTTCAGCCATATTTCTAAAGAAGAGCCAGGAGGGAGATTTGAGGCTTGAGTTAAAGACTTGAAGTTTGTGACAAGATCAAGAACATGGGTCTGCTGGTGTAGCTGATTTTTTTCCCCCTGATTAGGAACACAAAGAGATACGTGAATTTCAGGAAATGGGCATGATGGCTATATATATATATATATATATATATACTGCATAGAATTAATCATAAAGATTTAAACTGAAAGAGCTGATAGTGATTTAATCTCTTATTTTAGGATAATATGACCTGCACTTTATAGCCTTTTGTAGTGTCAAATGATGTAACCACTACTCAGTAACTGAAACAAAAATCAAAATACTGAATTGTTAGGATTTACTGTCAACTTAAAAAAAAAAAAACCATTGCCCGTTGCCGTGGAGTCGATTCCGACGCATAGCGACCCTATAGGACAGAGCAGAACTGCACCATATGAACTTTTAACTTAGTAGTATTTATTGCCTTAGTCACAATATTCAGTGTATTACTCAAAACCAAGTTCAAAAATTACCTTCCTCCAAACTGTTTTCTCTGATAAATACTTCTATGTAGATGTTTATATTCTAAAATCAGTTTATGAATATAACAAAGTTGTGAATACAGGTGTATGAAATTTTATTGCTAGATATTTTCAGTTGTCTTATTTTTTGTTACTTTGTGGCTTGTGTTTTGTTTGACTGATTTTTGACTTTTTATACTTACGTTATAGTTCCATACCAGCATCTTACAAGTTTCAATCTCTTCATTGCTGCCAGCATCTAAAGCCTTGGAAACTTCCGAAAAAGCAAACTTGCCTCCTAAACTAGAGACTTCATTTGAAGAGAAGTATGTCATTTTTGACCTAACATTTGGAATATAAATGCTCAAAACAGCAGACTAACCAAAAACAAGGGTGTACTGCATTTACTTACGGATAGAGTTTTTACCCAGAGAGGCAAAAAACAGCAAGGCATGAGTCAGGGGGACTATATTCAGTTCCAAATTATTAAAATAAAAGGTGTGAAGCAGAAAGTAATAGGAGATGAGGCTGGGGAGTTGGAGTGGTCAGGTTAGAGAAGGATTTTAAGGAACTTGGATTTTATATCCTAAGTATCCATCAAAGTGTTATAAGCAGGTTAATAACAGTCCTGTGGAAGATGGCTATGAAGGAGACAGGACAGAGCTATGGAATTTCCTTCTTAGGCACATATAATTTTCTTGCCAGTGTATTCCCAAATTGATTGCCTAATCTTGCAACTAGGTCAAACAAAATAAAATATCAAAAAAAGAGAAATAACTTGCCTAGCATAATTTTTATTCTTAACAATTATAAAAATAGCGTAGGGGAAGTATCTGACCTCCTCTAACTTCACAAGGGGGAAGGAGAATCCAGATCAGTAGCCAAAGACTGATTCCCATGAGGCAGAGGTCAGACATGCCTCCTCTCACTGCCATTTTTACCAACTCTGACACCAACCGTCTCTCCCACAGCACTCTTCTTCCCCGCTGGGTTCGATAATCACTGCATTGGTCACACAGAACTCACAGACAATACTCACGATTATGGGGTTTATTAGGGAAGTAACAGGTTACAATTCAGGTTGGGGAATGCTTAGGATATAGTTCTTCCATCAGGACAGCCTCTTCCTAGCAGCTCTCGCAGGCAGGCCTCTCCCTGGTTTGGGCCTCCGCCCTGCTCAGGCAGGTGTTACAAAGCTCTCTTAGCTCTGCCGATAAGTGCCTGGAGGCACCTCACGCCACTGGTAAGCCTTGACCTGAAGGCGCTGAGCTGTTGCTCCATGAGTTGGCAAATCTAGCTCCATCAAGTGCCTGGAGGCACCCTACTCTCCAGCAAGGCTCTTGCCCAAAGGCACTCAGCTTTCTCCATCAGTGGGCCAGGAAGACTCCAATGCTGTCTCCTGCCGGTCTCTCCTGCTGCTGTTTCTCTGCCACCGTTTCTCACTGTCTTCAGTGTTACAGCTCTCTCTCTTTCCTGGTTCCAGGAGCTTCTCAGGGTAGGGATCCCAGGTCCAAACGACACGCTCTGCTCTTAGCTCCTCTTCCTTGGTAGTGGTGGGATCCTCTCCTTCCCGCCTCTGGGATGGCTGATTTCAAGCCCAGAGAGATGGCAAAAGTGACCATTCCCCTTGGTGGGCCACAGTTACCCTAGTTGCACATTCCCACCCAATCGCTTGGGTAGAAGTTATAAGACTATGGTGAAAAAGTCCACACAGAAGCCATCTATTACACCACAATTCTTTTCACCCAGGATATGTATGGACTTTTATTCATGTAATTCATAAATATCTTTTTTTTACATTTTAGTGATGGAAAAACAATCCTTGGCACTGCTGTTGAAACTCAACTGTGTGATACTTCTTTGTAAGTTATATTTTATTGAATGTGAAAAATTTGATTAGGAGTTGAGAGAGAAAAGGGTTCAGTTATGCTAACAATAACCAATATTATCAGTGAATGACTTTCAGGCCTGAGTAAATTAATGTAGCTTTAATGATTGAGTGGGGGCAGAGGTGAGGGTGGGAGGGAGTTAGAAATTTACAAAGAAATAAAACCATATGCCATCCAGTGAACTCCAACTCATGGCAACCCCATGTGTGTCAGGGTAGAACTATGCTTCATAGGGTTTTAATGGCTGATTTTTTCAGATGATCAGGCCTTTCTTCCAAGGTACCTCTGGGTAGACTCAAACCTCCAAACTTTTGGTTAGTAGGTGAGCATGTTAACCATTTGCAGCACCCAGTGGCTCCACTACAAGGCACTAATGCTCATTTATCATTATTCCATGTCAAGCTTTAGCCTTCCTTCATCAGTTTTTATTTGAAGCCCAGTGCTTTTAATTTAATTTTTATACTAACTTATATTTTGAATCTAGTAGAAAATGATGTGATGACTGGAAAGACTGAAATGTATTTTTGCATTTTCAATTTAATAAACTGACCTAATATCTATGTTTATCCAAGTTAAAGTCTGGATTAAATTAGGAAGATCTATTTTCAGAGCAGTGCTCAAAGATGAGATCTTTTCTTTTCCCATCATTATCTTTTACTTTATTTGGTGTCTGACTACTTCTGACAACTTATATGTGCATAAATACATGAGAAATGCCTTTAAAAAGTTTGTTCACATATTTATATTATCCTATTTCATAGAGAACATTAGTTTCCTTTCCCTCTATCTCTGTCTTAACTAATCATACATTCCTGCCTTCAGTTTTGTAGTAACACCAGCTCTGTATAACTGAATGCTAATTATGTGAAAGAGAAAGTCTACACGTATTTACAGTCTCACTTTGCCTTCACCAGGGTAACAATTGAGTTATTATGGGCAGCAACAGGAATTCCTTTAATATGCTTTGATCAGAATTATCAAATGAATTGCCTTGCCAAACTCAGAAAATTGATTCCTTTATGAATTGAAAAGTAAAGCTTTCAATCTTTATTCTAATTAGAAAGATTAGATATAAATAATCTGTGAGTATTTAGAAAGTTTCCTGTATAAATGTGTGCATACTAAAGATGCACTGATAGTCGGCGGAAAACACTGGTCTGTTTTCAAATATTGACATCAGAGTGATAGTCCTAAGTATTTTTCCAGCCATTCTAACATGGACGTTTACAGTTATTGGCAGGACAGTTAACCACCCCTGCTTTTAAAAGAACTAGATGTTATAATTTAGTTAAGCACATAAGTGACTGACTGAATCCAGATTTTCTTTTATTACCAGGATTCAACCCACACACAATTTTAGTTTCCTTCCAAGATGTTCTACTTAGAAATGGTGGCACCAGAGTCACTTACTATTAATCCGAATTATTATTATTGTTATTTTTAGAACTTCAAGTCTACAAAAGTCTAGCAGCCTGGGCAATCTGAAGAAGGAGACATCAGATGGGGTTGGTTCTATACTTTTTTTGTCTGTTACTCTGAGACAAAAATATTTACAGATCTTCATCTTTTCCCAGTTTGCAAATAAAACTATTAAGAAGAGTTTGTGGTTTCTCTAAGGGAAAATTGTTAGATACCATCGTTAATGATAAATATTAAAAAGAAGTATGAATATAAAGGGTTAAAAGCAGAGACTTTAATAAATAAAACATAGTAGAAAATAAATGAAACTGAAATTTTGTAGTTTAGAAGTAGATGTAGATTTTTTTAATTTATGGAATTGTATATGACAAATTCTGAATATATGAAGGATTCCTGCAACCTTAAATATTATTATTGTTGTTTTGAACAGGAAAAAGAGTCTATTCAGAAGCCATCAGAGATAATTCTTATTACAATGTAAAAATGTTTTAGACTTCCAATATGGGTGGATTGCTTAAATATCTTCAGTAAAGCTTAAAAAAAGCTCAAAAAACTCTCAGTCACACTATTGATGTTCTTAATGCCCACAACTGGCCTTCCTTTGCTGTTGTTAGTTGCCGCCCAGTCAGCTGCTACTCGTGGCGACCTTGTGTACAACAGAACAAAACGTTTCGTAGTCCTGTGCCACCTTCATGTTCATTGGAATGCTGGAGTCCATTGCTGTGGGCACTGTGTATTTTCAATACCTCTTAACCTAGGGTGCTTATCTTCCAGCACTGTATTGGACAGTAGTCTGTTGTGATCCATAAGGTTTTCCTTGACTGATTTTCAGAAATAGATAGCCAGGCCTTTCTTCCTAGTTTGTATTACATTCTGGAAGCTCTGCTGAAACCTTTCTGCCATGGGTGACCCTGCTGGTATTTGAAATACTAGTGGCATAGCATCCAGCATCATAGCAACACGCAGGCCACCACGGTATGACAAACTGACAGACAGGTGGTGTGGGACCTTCCTTAGCCTTTCCAAAAACCCTTCTTAGATCACTAGCAGTTTATTTTACACAACCACTGTCCCTTAAAGCAAATGTTTTGGTATTTTTGAGTCATCATCAACAGGTGTTCCAATTCTTCTTTACCCTGATGTTTTATTGTTAGCCTTGTAAAGTTTATGGTCGGTAGACAGGCCACTTCCATGTACGATCTCTTGACTGTTGGCTCCTAGTGCCTAAGTCATAACTTGGCTATAACTAACAAAGCACTCTCAATGGCCACAGGTGTGATTAAAATCATTCTCTGTGCTTTTTGTCTTGCTGGTTCAATAAATGGTTAAATGATTTTGACATCAGGGCTTAGATACAGAAGATAAAAACCCGTTGTCGACCAGCTGATTGCAACTCATAGCGACCGTATAGAACAGAGTAGAACTGCCCCGTAGGGTTTCCAAGGAGCAGCTGGTAGATTGGAACTGCCAGCCTTTTGCTTAGCAGCCAAGCTCTTAACCACTGTGCCACCAGGGCCCCTGACATAGATAAAAGAACCATTAAATTGTAGCATATATAAACTTTTGGTTCTATGAGCGGCAGAGGTGCAGAGTAAAATAACCACCTTAAAAGCCTGTATCTCTTGGCCCTTCTCTTCACCTCCCCCCAAAAGAAACAGAGGGCAAGAGATGTTAGAGAAATGAGAACGTGAAAACAAAAGCAGCTTTGTGTAATACTAAAACAGTATAACACAGCGTGTTACTATAATCGCCAATTCTGAGTAACCAAAAAGCTCAAAATAAGCAGTGTTTGAAGCATACTTTAATCACAATTTAAGTTCTTGAGAAAGACCTTGAAATGCTTTAGAGATCTCAAGTGGCTTCTGAAGCAACAAAGAAAAATTTAATTATACTCAGTTAAGTTTTAATGTTAAGGGTTATTTGAACGTATCATAGTCTTTGAAAATTGGTGACCCGTGGTTGGTTACCTGCAGGCAAGATATGACTATATCCCAGAAACTATGTGAAAAAAAAGAAGCAAAAACTATTTTAAATAGTTACTGATTGTGCCTTCATTACATTATATTGAGCTTCTGTTACTGTAGTTATTTTATAAGGAATGTGAGCTATATTATAGGCAGTCAGAATTGACTGGATGTCAACAGGTTTGGTTTGGTTTATGTCCTAATTGTTAGAAAAGTAAGAAATCTACTCTTCTTGGTATATGTGTAATATCTTGTCCCCATGTCATTTGAGGAATGAGGCAAGTAAAATTAAAATTTGAGACTATATGTCTATCCTAAATATCTGAAGCCCCAAACACATTAACTATAGCTTAGTGATGAACAGGTCGTTGTTCTTATTTTTTAAGTGACTTTCATAGTTGACGTTTTAAACTTCTAGTATTTATTTGATATTGATCATCAGTGTGTTAGTTTATTCTTTTAAGTGAAATCCGGTATGTAACATATTGAGTATTGAGCCTGGCATGGACTACTGATTATGTGTATTAGTGCTATTAGTCATTGTTATGATTTATCTCACAGAATAAAGCTCCAGGAGAAAGCAACACGTTAGGGAGCCTCCCTCCCAAACCACCGGGACATGATGCCTTCATGGATGATAACCCCTTCGGCACTCGAAAAGCCAGATCTTCCTTTGGCCGGGGCTTTTTTAAAATAAAGAGTAACAAGAGGACAGCAAGTGCACCAAACTTGGGTATGTATGGCCAAGATGCCTTTGCCTTAATTCTTTCAGAATAAGGAAAAGATCAATCTGTTCCCTTCCCTTATTCATCTATTTACGGATTTCCATTTCTCAGAAATGGAGGTGGATGACTCAGGGGGAAGGTTAGCAAAAAATGCTCCAGTGGACTTAAGTCATTATGTGAATATAGCTCTGTTCTGTGAACATAAACTCTCACCCTGCTCTATTCTGTTGTGTAAACTTAGTGGAAAGAGCTAAAACAACGATTCTCTCTGACTTCATTATACACAGTTTCCTGTCTGTTTTGATGGTGAATCAATTGACCCCATATTGACATCCTAATGAAGTCTGTGTGTAACATCAGGGGCACCGAGTGGTGCATGCCTTTCCTCCACTGCGTGTATTTTGTGAGTCAGAGTTTGATCTGTTTCATTCTGTAATTCCCCTGTGTTCTCTCCATTGGGCTGCGTGTGATTGTGTGCGTTGTTGGGATATCTGAAGATCGTAAACGAAGTGCCAGTGCACCCACTTTAGGTATTGTACCCCTGCATGCCAGCCTTCATCAGCACTGTGCTCTGAACCAAGCTAACCCTTGCTCTTGGCATCTGTGATCTCTAGAAAGTGAGCTGGCAGTAATCAGAAAACGCAGTTGTTTACCAAGAGTGTTTGTTCCTCCCACCTGCTGCTGACAGGGACTGTCTGTCGAGCCTTTGCTTCCACTGTTTTAACCAATGCTAGTGAGCCTTTGTGAGTGGATCTGAGAGGACCAAGGCATGCATAGCATCCCTCAGAGGAGTAAAGGGCAGGAGTGCCCCGGCATTGTAAATTCCAGCTCTTCTACCCTTGAAACCCGTATCACACACTGACTCCCAGATCCTTGCAATCCCTTCTTCGTGTGTATGTTTTCCCCATTCTCGAACAGGAGATGTTATTAACCAAGCAGAAAGGTTTGTAGAAGACATTGAAGATGATATTTATAGACTTCTCATAGGGGGGTGTTCTATGACATTTTGTTGCTCTGAATATGGAGGCAACGTTTAGTGACATCAGAGGAAACTTTATGTGTTATCTGAGGAGTTGATACTAAGTTAAATGAGAAAGGAAAGGTCCTCCTGAGGTCTCAAAGTGATTTAGGGGAGAGGAATCTCAGTTTTCTTTTAAAGGGTAGGGTACTATAGGGGAAAAAAAGTCCTGAAAAATAACAAAGAAAAAACAAGATTTAATGCTTTTAAAGTGAGGATGGGTTCAACAACATTTTTAGGAATACCCTTACCCATCGTTGCTGTAAGTTTTAAACGGAAAGGTGCCTTTGGGTTTTCCCAATAAGTTCCGTTAGCTTGTATAAATATCCATGAATCTTATCCACCTAAGTCAGCAAGGGTGCTCTCTCTCTCGTCATAGCCTCAGATGTCTAAAGGGAGCATGGGATGAATAAAAAAACAGATCTACTCGGACAACGATTTTCAAATGTTCTTGCATCTTTCTTAGGAGAAACGTATCATCAACGCTAAGAGGCAAATGCTGCTTACTATGACTTATCATCACAGCTCTGCTTTATAGAAAAGTCAGCTTCTGCAACTTTTTCATCTTGCTAAAACACGTTCCTGTGATTTTTGTGCAATTTTTACTTTCCTTTATAAGATGTATAATATCACATCGAGTAAACAGTAGCCCTTGTGTTTGCTAGTTTGGGATCATTCACTAGGGACAGCTAAAAGAACTAAAATAGCTAACGCTTGGGGTTCCAGGGGTGGCAAAAGTAGATGTTGTTCTTATAAGGCAAAATTGTCAGGCGCTAATTTTATATCAGAAGAAAAACTTATGCAAATCCAGCTCATTCTTCTGTCAGTGCCTAAGACTTAACAGGTTGGGGAAGATTTCTTGAATAAAGAATTGCCGGAACTTGGTAACGGATTTGATGTGAATGCCAAGGGAGAGAAAGGAATGAAAGGAGAATGATAAGAGTTTGAACTGGAGCAACAAGGAAAATATTAATTAACATTACAAAATATTAATGAAATGCTAAATAAGATTTGAAAGACAAGAAGACTCCTAGGGAGGTTGGATGGATTTTTTGAGTCCAAGATGTACCTGGCACATTGAGTTGGGAATATACACAGATGTTCAGACGCTGAGGCTGGGAGAGAGATTAGGCCCGAGACTTCGATGCCACCTGCTTGTGAATTAGTAAAGCCATCATGTAATGGTGAGCTTAGAATGGGTGAGCTTGTCAAGAGCCTGCAGAGGGAACTTAGAACAGAATCCTGGGAGGAACTTAAAGTGCAGTGGAGTGGAAGAAGAAGAAATGACAAAGGTACTATAGCAAAGAAGAAACTATCATGAGAGTTCTAAGAGAGTGTTGTGACATGGAAGCCAAAAAATATGAAAATTTTGAAGGATATAGGAGATAGTCAAGGAGCCCTCGTGGTGTAAGAGTTAGGCACCCAGCTGCTAACTGAAAGGTTGACGGTTCGAATCCACCAGCCACTCTGCAGGAGAAAAGACGTAGCAATCTGCTGCCATAAAGGTTACAGCTTAGGAAACCCTGTGGAGCAGTTCTACTCTGTCATATAGGGTTGCCTGTGTCAAAATCAATTCTACAGCACAGAACAGGCAGTAGTCAGTAGGGCCAAGTGCTACAGCAAGATTGAGAATAATTTCATTATGCATTCCAAATACCCAGGAAAGAATATGGCAATCCTAGCATACCTTTGATTTATATTCTCAGAGTGGTTTTAATTTGTAAGTTAAATCAGCACACGATAGAATAGACTGTAGAATAGAACATACATTAGTGTTCCATTTTTAATATTTGCAAGGCCACCCCCCCAAAAAAAAAAAAAACACTCACTGCTGTTGAATCAATTCCCACTCATAGTGACCCTATAGGACAGAGTAGAACAGCCCCATAGGGTTTCCAAGGCTGTAATCTTTATGGAAGCAAACTGCCACATCTTTCTCCCATGGAGCGGCTGATGGGTTTGAACTGCCGACCTTTCAGTTAGCAGCTAAGTGCTTAACCACTGCACCACCAGGGCTCGCTGTTTGCAGGGTACTCTTTGTAAATCACTGATTTATAGACCAACAGAAGAAGAATGCTTAAAAGTTTCTGAAACTGAACAGGTTAATATCTAGACATGTTCATTTCACATTTTTAAATTCATCAAGGCTTTACTCTGTTCTTGGAATAGCTGAAACAGAAAAGGAGACAACAGAGCACCTAGATCTGGCTGGCATATCTTCTCAGCCAAAAGATTCACGGGGCAGCAGTCCCTTCCAGATATCTCCACCGTCTCCAGATTCCAAAAAGAAATCCAGAGGTATCATGAAATTCTTTGGAAAGTAAGTAAAAGAATGAACAAGAGGAGTGTCCTTGTATATCTGTCTTCAATGTAGAGGAGGGATAAATAGAAAATTGACTGAAATGGGGCACAAAATTGTAAGGCTTTTGTGTACTTCTTATGGAAAGAAGGTAGTGACTTGGGATTCATTAACTCATTGGGTCTTAGTTAAAATTTAAATTGAAATGTCTATATAAATGGTATACATAGAGTTATAGCTACAAGATATGCATCAGATAAAAATGTTATGATTCACTCTAAAGTCTGAGGCCTCCTCAGATATAATGTGTGGCAATATGTATTATGTCTTCTATTCAGACTTAGAAGAAGTCAATCAACCACGTTCAATCCAGATGACATGTCTGAGCCAGAATTCAAAAGAGGAGGGATAAGAGCAACTGCGGGGCCTCGGTTGGGTTGGTCTCGAGATTTGGGTCAATCTAACAGGTAAGAACAGCCAAACCTAATGGGCTTTTGCATCTTTGCATGTTCAGGCCTCATGAGCACCTGCAATGTTAGGCTCACTCCTGGGTTAAACAATCAAAGTCATTGCTTACAGCCGTGCCCAGTGAAAGGGGCCATCATCTTTAAAGCTGTGCATTTTGACAGTGGTTGACGAACAACGATATAAAAGATGAGAGCTGTGTGAGCTAGGTGAAGAGCCAGAACTAAAGGTTCAACAACAACTGTATCAGAAAGTTTCTTGGACTTAAATTTTAGGTGGAAAATAATTATAAGTACTCTAAAGCTTAGCTCTACAGAGATGGGATAGTGTAGTGGTTAAGATTAAGGTTCTAGGGTCAGACTGCTTGGATTTGATTTCTGGCCTTACCACTTCCTACAAGCTGGGTGACCCGTCCCTCAGTTTTCTCATCATACTTAGTACTTATCTCCAAAAGTGACTGTGAAGATTAAATGAGTTAATGTGTATCAAGTATCTGGCAAATAATAAGTATTCAATAAATATTAGATGTTAATGGAGTCTGTAAAAGCACTTAAAGATACACACTTTATCAAAATTCTCAAGTATATCAAGACTATGTAATGTAATGTTTTTTTCTCTTAAAACTCTAAGAACTTTTCCTATACCCTTAGCAAAGTTTAATGTTCTTTTAGAACTACTATACCGACCTACTGAGCATAAAAGGGTGAGGTTGGCAAACATACAGTAGTACAAGGTATTGATACCAGATCTTTTAAAAGTGATAATGAACTAAAAAAAAATCTTTCTTTAAACACAGTTCTTCCTGCATAGGTGGAACACTGAACACACTCTCTTTGGCCTTCTTCAAATACCAAGCGGTCTCATTTACCATATGTTCTGTTTGTACACACTAGAGCAACTTTGCATGCTATTTAAAAAAAAAAAAGTCTCTATTCATCTCCACTTTTCTTTTTTAAAAAACAGGAACACTGTTTGTTTGTCCAAGTAAAAGGAAATAGAAATTTAGTTTTTGATTTTTCTTTCCTGTACCCAGTGATGGCATACTGCTCTCTTCTCACTGAGTACCATTTGGAGAGAAACCATTATTTTGGTAAAGATAATTCAAGTTAGACCTGAGTGTCTTTCACTCTGTTTCCTGTTTGGGAATCCAGTCTTTAGAAAATATTGGTTGAAATTAGGACAATGACCTGTGTTGGTTCAATTTGCCCTTTTTCTATAGAACACATTGAGTTTTTTGTGGTTTTGTTTGAAATAAAGACTGTGGTTTTAAAAGGTAACTTTCAACTCTATACCACTTCCTTCTCCAGATATGTACTAAATATTAGGGTTTTCATGGTCAAATGTGTATTACTGGGGAATTTCTGTATCTGTTGAATGACAGTGACTGATACTTATTGATGACTGACTTTGAATTGTTGTTCATACAATTGTTCATTCTCCTTTAGTGACTTGGATATGCCATTTGCCAAATGGACTAAGGAGCAGGTTTGCAATTGGCTCGTGGAACAGGGCTTGGGGTCCTACCTGAATTCTGGCAAGCACTGGATTGTATCTGGTCAGACACTTTTGCAGGCTTCTCAGCAAGATCTGGAGAAGGTAATTACTTGTCTGTTTTGTTTAGAAAATGGACACTGAGAGAAAGAGAATATGAATGTATGGCTTGTTGTATTATTCCAGAAAGTAAAGTGGGTAGAGGCAAGAAGTACTCTTGAAAAAGTTTGGATTTCCTGCTCCATGTTTATTTTAGGTTATGGACTAAAAAGGAAAAGGAAGCACCTGGTCTTGGTGATACCTTACGGAACACTTAAGCCACTGGGCATTTTTAGTGAAAAATAATTGTATAGCTGTAATAATAAGCCTTAAACTCATATTTCTCAAAATCATTTTGTGGCTTTTTATTATCAGCCCCTCTTCTCTATGTAATATATGTAATTCAACTTCACTTTGCAAAAGGGCGGGGTGGGGGTGGGGAGCGGTGGAGGGCTGTGCATTTTACATCCAGAGTCTCTTCTTCCCAATTATTTAACATTTTGTATAAAATAAAAGTAGGCTTCCTGTTATGCATACTACACTTCCTACTTTGCAGAGGGAACACATACCACCCTGGTAAACTAATTGAGGTTCTCTTGGCTTTCTAGGGGCCTTCTGTCCAGCAGCACTTTAACTAGCCTGAGTTAGTATTCTGATTTAATGTGATTATTGGGTCTTTAGCTCCAAAGTCATTTTGGAAGAGCTTGCATCCTTTGCCGGTGGCATCCAGCCCATATTGACAGAATTATAAAATAAATGTTTCTGTTTATTCTTCTAGGAACTTGGAATCAAACATTCACTTCATCGAAAGAAACTCCAGCTGGCACTACAAGCCCTGGGCTCTGAAGAAGAAACCAATCACGGAAAGCTAGATTTCAACTGGGTCACTAGTAAGAAGTTTTTATTCATAAAAAAAAATAATAATAATAAGTATGACCTCCTTTTCTTTTTACTTGCATGATCAAGTTTTCTGTGGCACAGTAACAACCTGATTTCTCTGCTTTAGGGTGGTTGGATGATATTGGCCTACCCCAGTATAAGACACAGTTTGATGAAGGACGGGTAGATGGTCGAATGCTGCATTACATGACTGTTGTAAGTGATTCACTCCTGAGGCTTGGGGTAGTCACATTTTTTTCTCAGAAATAACAGAGTAAGCTAAGTACAATGTCTTCACAATGATCCCAGGAGAGTTTGATAGTGCTACTTTAGCACACATAGAGGGGAGGGAGTATCTCTTGTTAACTTGAATGAAGTGAGACTTGGAGGATTTGGTGATGGCAGCAACCTTGGGAGAATTTGAAAACCCATCTTAAGTCAATGAAGCCTAATTTAAACTAAGCTATCCAGGAAGTTGATATTTTACACATTGAAGAATGTAGAAGTATACCCTTTAAGTGGGTAAATTTAATGTATGTGAATTACATCGCATATAGATGTTAAAAAAAAGAAGAATGTAGAGAATGAAGAATTTTAAAGCTCTGGCAGTTTATAAGTTATGCATTCCTATATACAGGAGCGTCCAGAAAAGGCTACCCTTTAGACCTGACATTCCATAGGGACTTTTCTTCTCTCTGTATTTTCCCTTCTCTTCCACTTTGGTCAGCTATTCCCTGAAACCCTCTCCGCCTTCTCATTTGAGCCCAGTTGTACTGACGCAGGATCCACTGGGGTAAAGGAAAAGAGGGAAAGGGTAGATTTTCACTCTGCTTCCTTCATTATTGCATATATCTAGCCTTTCTACCAATGAGTAGAAGAACTATTCCTACCTTTACCACAGTGGGAGAGATGGATTCCTGGAGAAGTTTGTTCTTGATTCCCTAGTACTATTACTATCCTACTTAATTTACTTTTGCTGCCTAAATGGCCTTTTGTGAGCTAGGCAATTAATTTAAATTTAACTATTTATCTATTTGTCTTCTTCTTTTAATAGATAGTTTCTAACGACTGACTTAAATAGGGATTTTTCAATATTAAAGAAATTTGGAGTTTAACTCATGGGATTTTTTTTTTTTCCTCTCTCTCTCTCTCTCTCTTTGAATCAAAGTCCTTATGTTGGTGGGCACATCATATAAACCTGCATGTAATAGTTAATATATGCCATATGTTGCACAATTACTATGTCCCAGACACTCTTCTAAATACTTTGCTCAAGTTAATACTCAATTAATCATCAGCAACCCTTTGAGTTAGTACAATTATTATCCCCATTTTTTAGGTAAGAAAGCTAAGGAATCGAGAGATTAGGTAATTTGACCAAGGTTCCACAGTTAGAGAGTGGTAGAGCGTTTAAACCCATGCTGTCTGTCTCTAGATACCTGTCTTAGGAGTTCACTATTCTGCCTAGAACACATTCAGTAAATATTTGCTTGCCTACCTAGGCATGAGTAAGTTAAAGCTTAAAAGTCACAAGACCCATGTATATAACTTTCATGACTCTAACACAGTAAATTACCTTGGAAAATTTAACCCCAGAAGTCCTAGGCCACAAAAAGTCTGTTTTAATGTGGTATTCTAGATTGGATCCTAGAACAGAAAAAGGACCTTAGTGAGAAAAATCATGAAATCTTAATAAAGTCTGTAGTTTAGTTCATTGTGTTGTTGTCTATATTAATTTCTTCATTTTGATGAATGTATTATGATTATATAAGATGTTAACATTAGGGGAGGCTGGGTGAAAGTATATAGGGATTGTCGCTATTTTTTTCTTTTTTTTTGGGTAAATGTTTCCACCGATCTATTTTCTGTGTTTCTTAAAAACAAAATAAAAATCACGTTATTTAATACTAATGCTTTAAAATATGTACACCAAACAAAGTCATTTCTCACTCATGCTGTAAGTTGACCTGTGTTTCTTTACTTCTGTTTGCCAGAGGATCTTTAATAATTTCTGCGAACAGATTCCTTTTCAACAGAGGAATATACACTATCTTCACAACTCTTCTATAATTCTAAAATTATTTAAAAATGAGAAGTTTTAAAAATAAAAAAATGACAAAAAAGTCTGCTTTCGTTTTAAACAAAACCTCAAACTGTGAAGATTTTAAAAAATAATTAACATTTTATTTTAGATTGTAAGCATTATATATTTAGATTTTTTTAAAAATCTCTGATAGACTTTAATTAGATGAAAATAGCCTATAATGAAATGTCTTGAATGTTTCAATCTTAGATTAAAATATGTTAAATGCGTTTTCTAATTTACCACAAGACACTGCCTTTAAGAAATTAGTAAAAATTCAGGAAATAATTTTTGCTCAGTTAGTAGCCTTAAGAATTTAAACTGACTTAATATTTTTACTTTAAAAATATTTCCATAGCAGATTAAATTTTTTCTTCTTTCTTTCTTTTTTTTTTTTTCATAAGAAATGTGTTATCAGTAAGGTGTGCCTAAAATGGATGTTTCCTTGTTTACTTGCTGGGTGTGTTTGAAAGTAGCTTGGTGCTTAACTTAACATTGCCTCCAAAATCAGCTGCTTCTAAAATAATTTGTTTTGGTGTGTTTGGTTGTTTGAAAATGTTCCCAGTAGCCACAGACTGTTGAGTTTTTCCTTGAGGAAATTGATTGGTGTCGATACTTCTCACTCCTTCTTTTATCTTCTCTCCTTAACTTTCACCAAAGCCTTTGCACTGATTGCCACAGTTTTTCTAAATTTGTTCACAATGTTTGGTCGATAAAGCATAATAATCTAGAACTAGGGACTCTTTGAAGCCAGGGAGATAATATAACAGTAACAGCATTCTTCTGATTTTCCCCAACACTGTGACGTGCCTTAGTATAGAAAGTCCACTTGATCGTCAATGAATATCACTCTTAGCTATCTGCTAAAAGCACAAAGAGAGGCTAGTTTGGCCCGTGCCCTTAATTGTGCATAGGTATCTGCTTGTCATATCAAACCAAAGCAGATCACCTTTTGTGATGACCCAGCCGTTGCTTTTCAAACTGTGTTTCTCAGAGCCTTGGGGTTTCACAGTCCTACCTCAGGGTGTCTGGCCTAGAGAGAAACAGGTGGAAGTCTTCTTTGGTTGGAACAACATTGGTTTTAGTTCTCTTATGTATTGGGGCCCTAGGGAGGATTTTGTTTGGTGCAGAAAAAAGAAATTACACTGATAAGCCCTTGGGTCATGTTGGTAGAGGGGCTCTTCTACTTTTACTCCAGTGTTCTGAGATTTCCCTGAGAAAGTCCTTCCATTATAGGCCAGCACCGTGAGCCCCTCTTTTTGTTCTTTTTTGCAGGATGACTTACTGTCTTTGAAGGTTGTAAGTGTGCTACACCATCTTAGCATCAAAAGGGCCATCCAGGTCCTGAGGATAAACAACTTTGAACCAAATTGTCTACGGAGACGGCCATCTGACGAGGTAACATTTTAGATGGAGGTTCACAAGCATGCCCTTTCCATGCATGTGACTGACCATGTGTGCGAAAAACAGACCCATTTAGTCCTGGAGTCCACAGAAAAAGCTTCTCATTTCCTCAGATCCTCAAATTCAACCTCATTTACTTCTTAAGCTTTGTTTTCCTGTATTCCTTCCTTTTTCCCCATGATAGTTCCACCTGTATAACTAAGGCCAAGGGTTGTTTTCTTCTCATATGCTTCCTCCTATTCTTGGTTGTATTTTTTTTTTTTTTCCTGCCTCCTTAAGCCACAGAGTTAAGTATCACTATGAAGACTTCCTCTCCTCAATTGGTTTGGTCTTTTAGTAACACATTGCTTTGTTAGTGTGTAAAAAATCTTGAAATGCTGTGACATAAGTTCTTTAAAGGAGAATTCAAATTAGCAAACACTTTTTACCCTTTTAATTCTTTTTTTTTATAGATATATTTTTATTGTACTTTAGATGAAGGCTTACAGAACGAATAGTTTCTCATTGAACAGTCAGTACACATATTGTTTTATGACATTGGTTAACAACCCCACGACAGGTCAACACTCTCCCTTCTCGACCTTTTTTTTTTGGTGAAAATATATATAACCAAAGTTACACCATTTCAAAAATTTCTACATGTACAATTCAGTGACATTGATTATATTCTTCCAGTTGTGCTGCTGTTCTCACTATCCTTCTCCAAATTATTCCATCACCATTATCTTCAACTCTCTGCCCCCTAGGCTTGCCATCAAACTTTTTGAGTTGCTGTTGTCAGTTTGATCTCACATAGATCATTCTTTTTTTTTTTGTACCTTAGATGAAGGTTTGCAGAACAATTAGTTTCTCATTAAACAGTTAGTACACATATTGCCCTATGACAATGGTTAACAACCCCATGACATGTCAACACTCTCCCTTCTCAACCTTGGGTTCCCTATCACCAGCTTTCTTGTCCCCTCCTGCCTACTAGTCCTTGTCTCTGGACTGCTGTGCCTCACCCTTTTAATTCTTCCTCTGAACATTTAGTAGGATGTCCAGTAACTTTGCTCCATGGGGTGGATTGTTTAAACAGAACAGGTGGGTGTAGTAGTTGGAATTCCGTAGTCGACAACTGAAGTTGTTGGTGGCTATTTGTTCTCATAGAATAGCATCACCCACTCAGAGGTTCAGCAGTGGACCAATCATCGTGTAATGGAGTGGCTGCGCTCAGTGGACCTGGCAGAATATGCCCCCAATCTCAGAGGCAGTGGTGTCCATGGTGGGCTCATGGTAAAGCTTTGTTATCATTTCAAATCGACTTACTGCTTTGTTTCCTTTAATCTAAGAATAGAATATTATCAATTTGCTTGTCATCACCCTACAGTCATCTAACCCAACCCTGCTGCAATATTTCTAGTGAATCTTTACTTTCAAAGAATTGTTTTCTGTATTTTTTTAATTCACATCATATAACTGCAGATGTAATTTATGCACATTTCTCTTTTATTGTCATTTATGTTGAATAATATCTGACCACTGTCTCCCATATGATCATGTCTTAAAACCCCTGCAAAGACACAGATTATATTTCTGCACACTGTTGTTGCAGAAGGAGTTGACTTCCAAGGACATCAGAGAGGCAGAAGTGCTGACTTGTGATACCTGAGAGCTGGATTTCAGGACAAGCTCTGTCACTTACTTGTTGTTATTAGCTGCTGTGAAGCAGCCCCTGACTTATGGTGACCCCCTGTACAATGGAACAAAACACTGCCCAGTCCTGCACCACCCCAACGATGGATTATAGATCAGACCATTGTGATCATAGGGTATTCATTGGCTGATTTTCATAAGTAGATCTCCTAGGCCTTTCTTCTTAGTCCATGTTCGCCTGGAAGCTCCTCTGAAACGTAACCTGTTCGGCATCATAGCAACACACATGCCTTTTCTGACAGACAGGTGGTAACTGTGCATGAGTTTCTTTGGCTGGGAATTGAATCCGAGTCTCCTACATGGAAGGCAAGAATTCTACCACTAAACCACCACTGCCCTCTACCACCTGCTAGCTTGGGCAAAATAAAGAAAAGATATGTAAATTAAAGATCAAAGTCCATACCCTATCTACCTAACTGGGCTATTGAGAGGGTCATTGGAGATAACCTAAATGAAAGAGCTTTGCAAATTATAAACCCAATATAAACATGTGTGACACATGCTGCCTTATAGCACCTTAAGTAAAGCTGTTAACTTTTCCTACAGGTTCTAGAACCTCGTTTTAATGTAGAAACAATGGCTCAGCTATTGAACATCCCACCAAATAAGACCCTGTTGCGAAGACATTTGGCCACTCATTTCAACCTTCTGGTTGGTGTGGAGGCCCAACAGCAGAAGCGTGATGCCATGGAGTTACCAGATTATGTCCTTCTAACAGCTACTGCCAAAGTGAAGGTTGGTTCAAACTTATACCATTGAGTAATTGCCTGAAGTAAAGGCTCAGTTTTTACTCCTTATCTGCCTATCCTATTTTCGGGGACTTACTAAGTTTTGTGGATGAGTTAAAGGTATTAACATATCTTGAAGAGTAGTTAAGCAAATGCATTTTTGGAGGTTCTGTCTGGAGAAAGCTTTGCTCAACTCATTTGTTTTATTAAAGAGTTAATGACAATAAAGAGCGTGATGTTGACTTCTATAATCGATACTTTGCCAATGTGGAGAAGCCATGACTAAGGCCCAAATACGGATGGCAGTTGTCCTGTTTTTCCATTTGTCTGGCTTCTAATTGACCAGTCTAGCAAGTTTGGAAACATTGCTTAAGAAATGAAGCAAGACTGTCTGGGCACATGCTTCTATTTTCCTTATCTGGTCCTATCCGATGGAACTTCTTACTGGGCCCGGAGCTCCCGCTTCTAAACCCCTTCTCATTTAGAACCAGAGAGAGGGTAGGATTCGTGCCAGGCTGTGGAGTTCCAGGCCTGAGCTCTTTCCAGTAAGCCATGGCAAAGGCTACTACCTGGGCTGGGGGAAGAGTGCTAGAGTGAGTTTAGGGTTAAACGTGGAGTGATTAGAAAGAAGAAACCTCATCCTCTTTCATAGAGGCCCAAGGATGAGACATGACAGTATTGGAGAGGAGAGTGGAAATATAAAGATCAGGCAGGAAATGACTAAAAATATTTTTAAAAGCTAGATTTTTTTGTGTGTGCTTGCCCATGCATGCCCATGCACACAACCATCACCACGGTTTATTTCCGGGACTTTTCCTTCGCCCCAAACAGAGACTCTGTGCCCATTGAGCACTCACTCTCCACCCTTCCCTTCCCCCAGACCCCGGTAGCCGCTGGTCTACTTTCTGTCTCTGTGCATTTGCCTATTTTGGATGTTTCATGTAGGTAGAATCAGACAATGTTTGTCCTTTTGTGTCTGGCTTATTTTTAAAAAAGGAGAAAGAAAGAAAAGAAAAGAAATGAATCAAGGCAGACAGGCAGAGAATGGATATTTCCTAATTCACCTGGATTCATGGGTCATACCAAATTCAGATTACTTTTTTTTTTTCCTTCTAAATCATTCTTACGTTAGCTGTTCCAAGTTACCTTAACTATCTTAATGTGGAGATAGTGTTTACTGGCTCCTTCAGAAATATGTACTGAGTCCTTTTTTTGTGTTTGACACCCTGTGTCTGCCTGAGTACCTTCTCTTTAGTCCCCTTCTTCTCTTAAAAGATGATCCAAGTTTGAAACTTCTGAGAGATTTTGTTCTATTTAGGTTCCAAGTCATCAGCCTGATCACCATGTTCTTAATGGATAGTCTCAAGGCCTATCCAGCGACCAAGATGAAATTTCTCTTGTAAGCATCGCTGGAAGTTTTCTTCCCAAAAGAACTGTGGTTCTTTTAGCAGTCACCATCTACGATATGGAAACACAACAAGCACACAAGATAATCATAACCTCATGCAAATAATAAGCACCATTTTCTTTTGCTGATCTTAGGTTGGAAAACCTTGAAAAATTGGATTCAGCATTACATTACGTCCTGTTTAATCAAAACAAAAGCTCTTAACATATTTTGCTTATCAAAGTGACTGCTCAGCTAGTGTGACTAAGGAAAACAAGCTTAATCTTCTGATACTCATAACTAGAATCAGGTTTTATATTTGCATGCATCAATCATATCTCTATGATGCCTTTGTGTCTTAGTCATCTAGTGCTGCCATAACAGAAATACCACAAGTGGATGGTTTTAACGAAGAGAAATTTATTTCCTCATGGTCAAAGTAGGCTAAAAGTCCAAATTCAGGGCGTCAGCTCCAGCGGAAGGCTTTTTCTCTCTGTCGGCCTTCTTCTCTTCAGTGTTCCCCTGGACTAGGAGCTTCTCCGCACAGGGACCCCAGTCCAAAGGACGCGCTGTGCTCCTGGCACTGCTTTCTTGATGGTATGAGGTCCCCCTGTCTCACTGCTCACTTCTGTCTTTTATATCTCAAGAGATTGCCTCAGGACACAATCCAGTCTTGTAGAGCCAGTCCTGCCTTACTAACACAACTGCCACCCATCCTCCCTCATTAACATCATAGAGGCAGATTTACAACATACAGGAAAATCCCACAGTACCAGGAATCATGGCCTAGCCAAATTGATACACACATTTTCTAGGGGACATAATTCAAACCATGACACTTTGTTTTTGTTTTACAGATTTAATCATCCAATTGCTTTTCTCTATATGATTGGGTAATTAATTAAATTACACATGTTCTTGATCCTTTGTCATATGAATTATACCAAACCCCTGGATGTTTTTGTTTGCTTTTCTTTTAAAGCCAAAGAAACTAACCTTCAGCAACTTTGGGAATCTGAGAAAGAAGAAACAGGAAGATGGGGAAGAATATGTTTGTCCAATGGAATTGGGACAGACATCAGGAAGTGCATCTAAGAAAGGGTTTAAAGCAGGTTTGGACATGCGCCTGTATGACGATGATGATTTGGACCGGTTAGAGCAGGTAAATGCAATGCTATACAACTATTTTAAACTTCTTCCACCATTCAAACACCATCTCAGTTCACATAAATCCCTAAAAATGAAGATAATAATAAAATAATAGTGACCACTCACAGAATGCTTACTACATCTCAGGCACTGTCCTGTGCACTTAACATATATTAATATTCGTAGTAATCCTAAGACATAGGGAATATTGTTATCCTCATTTTATAGATGAGGAAACTGAGGCACAGAGAGGTTAAATAACTTGCTCAAGATCACAGAGCTGGTAGAAGAGCTAAGATTCCAACTTGCTAGCCTGGCTCCAAAGCCTGTGCACTCTTTACCTATGCTATACTGTCTCATAAGGAGCTCTGGTGGCACAGTGGTTAAAGTACTTGGCTAACCAAACAGGTTGGTGGTTCAAACCCATCAGCCACTCCGTGGGAGAAATATGTGGCAGTCTGCTTCTGTAAAGATTTACAACCTTGGAAACCCTACGGGGAAGCTCTACTCTGTCCTATAGGGTTGCTATGACTTGGTATTGACTTGAGAGCAGTGGGTTTGGTTTAGTGGGATGCTGTCTCTGTATCAAGGAAACCGATGTATTAACACAAGTCAGGAATGGACGAGTTGTACTATCTAGCCTTTTCAGATCAAAGTCATGGGACTGTATGTTGCCCTCTAATCAACAATCCTTTGGTGCCATTGTCAAAATCAGATCATTAGGCTAGGTGTACCAGCAAAGTGTTGTTTTTTTTTTAAAGTTTTAACTTCTGATTCCAGTAATGAGAGAATATTCTTATTGAAAGTGTTCTGTTAGTCCTACCCCCAGTCAGTACTACTTGCATTATTTCTTAGATTTTTGTTCATTTTGCTGCACTTTCCTTGAAATTATACGAGGAAAATATGTCACATTATGATATGTTCTTTGCAGATGGAAGATTCAGAAGGGACAGTGAGACAGATAGGCGCATTCTCTGAAGGCATCAACAATCTAACAGTAAGTTTGTAAAATGAACTTAAAGTGTTATTCTGAATATATCCTTTAAAATAAACCCCAAGGGACTGCATGTATGTTGGAAAATGTGAAGTTCTGAACTCTTGGCTCACAGTGTATGTGACTCCCTGTCTCCTTGTTTTCCAGCACATGTTAAAGGAAGATGACATGTTTAAAGATTTTGCTGCCCGTTCCCCCAGTGCCAGCATTACAGATGAAGACTCAAACGTTTGACCACAGCACCTGATGAGCACCTTAGTCTTTCTTCTGTATTATCTCTCCAACACTCACAGTATATACGATGAGCAACAGATTGTATATTGTTTATAGTTCCAACTTCTCATTTAGAAGTGGAAATAGAAAGCAGGGGGAACATGCCTCTTCTAAAGTTGCCATGAAAAACAAGACACTGGTGAATGAGAGTATTACTCTATTTAATGTAAAAATCCATAATGTATTTAAAGTGTTGCATTTAAGATGAGTATTTTACCATAGCATTTCCACTCACATTCACAGCATGGAGGATTTGGGGAGCAGCAGCCAGTATGTGAATGATTTTGTCATATCCGTATTCACAGCAGCCGTCTAAGCTGGACATTATGTGTATGCTCTCAAAATCAATATGTGGAATCTCCTTAAGCATTCAGTGTGCCCACCAAATGCCAGCCACACCTCCATATGCCTCTTATTGTCTTATTTTTATATATTTTTCTAAATATGTGTATATATACAGTACATAGAAAAAGAGCTTTTATTTTGTGACATAAGGAAGACAGTGAAAAGATCACATTTTTCATATACCAGCTGGTTCCTGGAGAGGTCAAGATGATCTTTTTTTCCTCCACAAATGAATTTTAACAATGTCGATCATTCAGGCTAAATTAGTGTATAGAAAATTCCCCTTCTTTGATAACACATCTCAAAATTGTTGAACTGTTTTTTTTTAAATAATTTCAACCTTAATCTTGTATCCTTTTACCTCATAAGAAAGAACTCAAGGGACAATTAAATATTATTAACTAAAATGCATTCAGAAGTCCCCATAGAATTTGTAGACATAATCTCTAAAGAAAGCAAAAACAAAACAAAAATCTTTGCAGTATTAAGCTTATTTTCCTTTTTGTTCACTACATCATTACATCAAAATGCTAACAGTCTGCCTAAACATGTTTTTAATTGTAAATTTCTCAGACTATCAATGAATGGAAGTTTTAAAGATGAATATTTGTCTGGATATTCTGTCTCAATGAAAGTTGGCTGCAAAGTGGTTTTATAGTGGCTATTTTGTGATGATAAAATATAGTTTATTCTGTAGCACACGGCACAAATATCCTTTATAAAGAAAATAAAAAGCTGCAGCAAAAACTGTTATTGTGTTTATTATTTTTAGGGATGTTAGAAAAATATTTTGTGTTTTATTCAGTACTACATGGTTACCCATGGTAGCCAACCATGGGAAAGACAGGTTTTCACAAATTGGAGTGGGGCTGGGCAGTTCAATAAATGCCATTGGACTTGGTTATAAATTGTATTTGAATGTCAGTGGTATAGTTCTTTTAAGCTGTCACCAGGTTACTAATCTATTTGGCAAAGAGCTCGTAATACTAGATTACTATTTATTCATAATTAAAATAATTTGACACTAATAACTATTTGCTTTGAACTCTACCATTCACTGCCTCGGAAGTAAGGCCTGGTGATCTGCTTCAGAAAGATCATAGCCTTCAAAACCCTATGGAATGCAATTCTACTCACACACGTGGGGTCGCCATAAGTTGAAATCGATTCAGCAGTAACTAACAACCAACGGTATTGGAAACTTATTGTATTTGTATTTTTTTTTTAATATGAATACATGCCATTATTTGAAAAATGCAGTTTGTTATTAAAACCTGGTTAAAAAATATCAGGAGACTGTTATAGATGCCAAATATTCTTTATTCAGGACAATGTAACATAATGATATGATGTGATATGGTTAAAAAAATTTTGATGATATATTTTATTTACAAAATATTATCCACTGCTGGTATTATCATATGAAAGAAAATAAAGTCAATTGAAAAATTGCTTCATATTTCTATTGTCAATTACTTAATTTTCCTTTGTTCAGAATAACTTCCAGTCTTTATTTCTGATTTAGAAAACAATAACACAAATTCTTTATGATTCACAAACTCCCATAAATTTGTTTGAGTGGGGTATATAGTATGTATGAACAGATAGAAATTTGAAGCCTTTGTTTAAGAAACTTTTGTATGAAAGGAAACATTGGCAACTGAGCTGGAGAGGATAAGGGATCATGGCAGAGAAGGGACATAGGAAAAGCAAACAGAGATGACTCACCTTCAAATTTGAAGAAGTTGTTGTAGAAAGAGGTGACTGGGTCTTTGAAGAACCAAATATATTTTTTACAAAATTTGGAACCAGGAAACATATCTTGGAAGAGATTACCAAGTACAGGTAGTCCCCGACTTACGACGGGGTTCTGTTCCAACCACTCAGTAAGTTGGTTCTGATGTAAGCCGAATGCTCTTTTTTTATTTTAGTTTTCATTATTATTGCCCTTTATTGTCGGTATCTTTATAAATTCAATCTTTATTTGTCTTTAGGGGTTGGAAACATTATGTATAAACTTACAGACATATTTTACTATATACATAAAAAAATACACAAATCGTGAAATGAACGGATGGTCCTAAGTGCAGTTTGTAGTAGCTCGAACATGTCGTTAAGTTAGGGACTACCTGTATAACAAGTAGAGTGAATATAACCTAGAGAAGAGCAGATGTTTTGTCTGAAATTTAGTATCCGTAACTTAATGAACCAGTAGGAATCTGTATGACCAGAACACACCCAGTAGACAAACAGGGAGGGTACCGGGTTTGTTTTAGCTATAGGTATATATGCTCTGCTACAGCAAACAAGCTTTAGGGTTGGAGAACTGTGACCGTATTGACAGATGCAAAACTTTTACTCTGAGAAAGAAGTCATCCTGGACAAGTTTCACATGTTTGATGTTTGGAAACAATATTGAGTGTAGGGAAAATGGGGCAGAAAACATCCCAGCAGTTGACTCTGAAGGACAGCCAAGAGGTTCTCAGCATCCCTGACTTGTTCAGTGGAGCTATAGTTTATGCAGCTCAGAAGCTGGAGGAGTATCTTGGATTTGAAGATCGTGTAAGTAAATTCTGCCCTGCTCCAAACACTCTGAATGAAATATTCTTAATCCACTTCATCACTTTCTGCCAAGAAAAGGGAGTTGACAAATGGCTTACCACTACCCAGATGACGAAGCACCAAGCTTTATTGTTTGGGGCAGACTGGATTTGGACCTTCTGGGGTGCCGACAAACAAATAAAGTTTCAGCTGGCAGTACAGACTCTGCAGATGTCTTCTCCTGTGGAACCTAAACCTTGTGACACCTCCAATCCGAAACTGAGAGTAGAGGAGTCTTCCAGGAAAAAGAGTAGATTTGATAAACTGGAAGAATTCTGTAACTTGATAGGGGAGGATTGTCTGGGCCTCTTCATCATCTTCGGTGTGCCAGGGAAACCTAAAGATATCAGAGGAGTTGTCCTGGACAGTGTCAAAAGTGAGACGGTGAGGAGCCATCTGCCAGGAGAGAAGGCTGTGGCACAATTTGTCCTGGAAACTGAACGTTGTGTCTCCATCAGAGAGCTGCTTGGACACTGTCTGAGTAAGAAAGATGGTCTGAGAGAGGTGGGCAAGGTTTATATTAACATCCTCTGACCTGGATATGTCTGATGAGAGTGGCCTGTAAGATGAAAAAAAGTTTTTTTTTTTTTATTTTAATAAACAAGCCCGTCTACTTGCATCATTCCAGGAAAGGACTCCCCTCCTCCCCGTTTTGTTTCCTGGGTTAAAGGATTAGTGTCATGATTATGAAGAGAAAAAACTCTTGCTGTATTTCAGGAAAAACTTATCATTTAGTTTAATTGTTTGTTCATTCACTCAGTAATAAAAATGGGAGAAGATAATAAAGCCACCCTTAAAGTTTGGTTTGCAAAAAATAAGTCTTTTTTTTTTTAATAATGTGTCTAACATTCAAAAGTATAAAATGTGTGTTTATTGCTGTAGGTGGGAGGTGGATAGAGTAAGGTGGTGACAGGTTTAGTTACAGTTATAATATTAAGAGCAGTTTCAATTTGGGATTCCTAACAAAAACCTCACACTGCTTTTTCCTCTAAACCCCTCCTTATTCCAGCCTCACCCCTAGCTGTTTGTGCTGCACAGAGAGGATCGTGGTGGGATTCTCTTTGAGATTTGCTTGAGTGTTAGCTTTACCTATAAACAGTTATCCCTATAACAATTCCTTGTAATAATATTTGTTTAGCATTTATGGTAAGGAACGTGTATTCACATATAAAAACCATGAAAACTTTCCTTATCCCAGGCCAACTGTACAAAGAAGAATCATCATTATTTATTGAACTCATATGCCATGCTAGATGCTTTACATATATTATTGCTAATCCACACTTCTAAAAGGTAGGTATTTGTTATGGATTGAATTGTGTCTCCCAAAAATGTGTGTCAACTTGGCTAGGCCATGATTCCCAGTATTGTGTGATAGTCCACCATTTTGTCATCTGATGTGATTTTCCTATGTGTTATAAATTCTACCTCTATGATGTTAATGAGGCAGGATTAGAGAGAGTTATGTTAATGAGGCAGGACTCAATCTACAAGATTATGTTTTATCTTTTGAAATATAAAAGAAAGAATGGACGGGGTGGGGGGGTGGTGAGGGGACGGGGGAGGGGACGCTCATGCCAACAAGGATGAAGAACCAGGAGGTGAGTGTCCTTTGGACCTGGGATCCCTGCACTGAGAAGCTTCTAGACCAGGGGAAGATTGATGACAAGAACCTTCTCCCAGAGCCAACAGAGAGAGAGCTTTCCTCTAGAGCTGACTCCCTGAATTCGGACTTTTAGCCTCCTAAACTGTGAGATAATAAACTTCTGTTTGTTAAAGCCATCCACTTGTAGTATTTCTGTTATAGTAGTGCTAGATAACTAAGACAGTATTTATTTCTGTTGTACAAATCAGAGAGGTTAAATAACTTTGCCAAGGTCATAAAGCTAGTAAGTGGCTCATAACAAATATAAACTAAGGTCGGCCAACTTACAAAGCCCATACTCTTTTTTTATAGTCGTGTGTCTTAGTCACCTAGTGCTGCTACAACAGAAATACCACAAGTGGATGGTTTTAATGAAGAGAAGTTTATTTCCTCACAGTCAAAGTAAGCTAAAAGTCCAAATTCAGGGCATCAGCTCCAGGGGAAGGCTTTTTCTCTCTGTCGGCCTTCTTCTCTTCCGTGTCCCTCGGACTAGAAGCTTCTCTGCGCAGGGACCCTGGTCCAAAGGACGCGCTCTGCTCCTGGCACTGCTTTCTTGATGGTATGAGGTCCCCCTGTCTCTCTGCTCACCTCCGTCTTTTACATCTCAAGAGATTGCCTCAGGACACAGTCCAGTCTTGTAGATCCGGTCCTGCCTTACTAACACAACTGCCACCGATCCTCCCTCATTAACATCATAGAGGCAGATTTACAACATACAGGAAAATCACACAGTACCAGGAATCATGGCCTAGCCAAATTGATACACACATTTTTTGGGGGACATAATTCAAACCATGACATCGTGTAAAGAAAGTTATTTCTTCCACTCTAAGCTACCAAGATTGCTGAGATCACAAAGAACCCCCACCTACAAAGATGCTAGATGGTTTATAGGGTCTGCAAGGAATATTAACAACCTCCAACTGCAGCCTTAGGACTGTGCTCATTTCTGCTGCACTTCCTGGCCTTAGGCCCCTGCCGCTGCTCCTGTTGGAGAATGACCTGGTCACTGATAATGCAGTTCTTGCTGAACAGATCTCCAATAGAATAGAGGCAAACTCAGCTTCTGCCATTTCGAGTCATTGGGTTGATATATTGCCAAAAAAAAGTTTAAAAGTGTAAATGGAAGTTAGATTCATTCACACATAATTGCTGAATGTCTATTACAGTGAAACCTGTGAGAGCTGGAACTCGACAGGACTGCCTTGTTTTTCCAGGTCTGGCAAGTTTTCCATCTTTGATGGTGCAGTCTTACCACTTTTCTATCGCTACTTTTAGTGGAAAATATTTGTATTTTCCATCTCTGACAGGTTTCCACCTTACACAGCTTCCAGCTTTAGCACGTTTTACTGTAATTGGTAAGCCCTGTTCTATGCCCTGAGGATCCGGCAGTGAAAACAAAAAAAACAGTCTGTACTTTCAGGGAGTTTCTATTCTAAAAGCAGGAGACAGACAATAAACAAATACAGGTATGTATATTTAAAATGTATATATTTTAAAAATATCAGGAGTGCTCTAAAGAAAAAGCCCGGAGGAGCCCTGGTGGCTCTGTGGTTAAGAGCTTGGTCTCTAACCAAAAAGATCCTGCTGTTTGAATCCACCAGACTCTCCTTGGAAACCCTATGGGGCAGTTCTACTCTGTCCTATAGGGTCACTATGAGTTGGAATCAACTTGATGGCAATGGGTTTGGTTTAGTTTTTAAGGGGATGGAGAGTGAAGGCGGTGCTATTTTATACTGGCTGGTTAAGGAAGGCCTGAGTGAGGAGGGGGCAACTGACCGGAGACCTCAGTGAAGTGAGAAAACATCAGTGCAGATACCTGGGGAAGAGTGTGCTGGGCAGAGGGAACAGCAAATGCAAGGGTGGAAATGAGAGTAGATCAAATACGTTTAAGGCACAGCAAAAAAAGGCTTGTGTGGATGGAGCAGAGTGATCCAGGGGGAGAGTGATAGAAGATCACTCTGCTAGGAGATCGGAGAAGTAGCCAGCAAATAGATAAGGCAGGGCCTTGTAAGCCAGAAGAAGGACTCTGGATTTTATTTTGAGTGATATGAGGAGAGAAATGCTATGATCTGACTTAACACTTTAAAATTCTCCATTGATTGAGGGATGGAGAATACATTTCAGGGAGGAAAGAGTAGCAGCAGGGCCCAGGGGGCAGCTAAGAGGCTATTACAGTAAGCCAGGTGAGAGAAAAGGTTGGCCTGGACCAAGGTGGTAGAGGAGGAGGGATGAAGAAATGAGATTTGGGATACGCTTGAAGGTAAAGCATATAGCATTTGCTGATGATTGGATGGGGGGGTGTATGAACCATACCACAATTAGAAGGCTGTATTTCCAAATTTCTTAAATAATAAGAAAACATGCAAGGGCAGAAATAAATTTGTCTTTATTTCTTTATCCCAGAAAACCAAAAGACCAAGAAAAGCATGTTAGTCCTCTGTAAGCTGGGTGTGAATAGGCCCAGGAGGCATCTCTTGAAGTTGTTAAGCAATAAATGTTTTCCTCAATGTATAGTGACCCCGTCTGCAGACATTCTGTGTAGAGGAAGCTACTAAGAAGGTATGCAGTATGTTGTCGTTGTTGTGTGCCGTCGAGTTGATTCTGACTCATAGTGACCCTATATGACAGAGTAGAGGTGCCCCCACAGGGTTTCCTAGGCTATAATCTGTAGGAGAGCAGATCGCCAGGTCTTTTCTCCTCTGGAGCCGCTGGGTGGGTTCTAACTGCCAACCTTTCAGTTTGCATCTGAGCACTTAACCATTGAGCCACCAGGGCTCCTGCAAAGGTACTGTAATATAGTAAAAAGAACATTCAGTTTGAAATCGCATGTAGGTTTGAGTCTCAATTCTGCTCAGAAGAGCAAAGTCAAATGGCTTAACTGTCTATTTTCTTATCTGTAAAATGCAAATGACTTCAACTAATTCAAAGGAGACAAAACTTGTGAAAATATTTTATGTAGTGAAGTGTAAGGTTTTTAATTAAAGAATTTACCAAAATTTCAGAGAATCTTGTATAAATTATAAGCATTCACATTATAAACATCTGGAAGCTATCAGTTAAAGCCTCACTAAAGTTTTTTTAAATGAAAAATAAAAATGGGATGCTTTTGCTGATTTTAAACTTACTGCATTCTTGCTTAATTTTTTTAAAATCTGCATTCTTGTGTAATAATACAAGTAGAGAAGTAGAGAAAGTCACGTCTTCACTAGGCACAGTTCCACCTCATGCCCACTTCTTCCAGTTTGCTGTTTGCCCTTCCAGAACATAGATAGCACATGAAAATATTTTCCACAAATGGGATCATATGATCCATGAAGACTTTATAACCTACTTTTCAAAAAATTTTAACCATTTTGTGGCTATCTTTCCATGCTAATAGATTTACATCCACTTCATCCTTTTTAAGGCTGACATCAGTAGTTCTCAATCTTACCTGCATATTAGATTCACTTGGGTAACTTTAAAAAGAAATGCCCCCAATATACCCTAGACCAATTGACTGGAACCTCGGAGGGAGGGGCCCTGATGACGGTATTTTAAAAAAATCTTCTGAAGGGAGTTTAATGGTCAAACAGGACTGAGATCTATAGTTCTAAATTGTACTCTATATTGTATGTATGGAATCACTGGGTGGGGCAAATGGTTAATGCACTCAGCTGCTAACAGAAAGGTTGGAGGTTGGAGTCTACCCAGAGGTACCTCAGAAGAAAGGCCTGGTGATCTGCTTCTAAAAAATCAGTCATTGAAAACCCTATGGAGCATAGTTTTACACCGACACACATGAGGTTGCCATGAGTTGGAATCTACTCAAAGGCAACTGGTTATTGTATGTATATTTAATCAATAGTTTTGACAGACATTTAAGTTTGCAAGATCCATCCTTATACCTAGATTTTTAAATATTGTCTGTTTGCCATACTTGTATGTACATACTATAATCCACCCACTTTTGATAATGAAGTTAATTTTGATTAAAAGTAGTTGTCTGACAGAAAGTCATTCAACTAATCTAGGTTTTAGATATAGTAAAAACCCATTGTAAAAAACTTTTAACATTTAAAATTATTCTACATAATTTGTGGGGCCCACTACAAAATGAAAATGTGAAGCCCCTTATTAAAAAAATTATTAAGAATTTCAAGATGGTGCCAGTAGAGCATTCAACCAAGCATGAGGCCCTTCTAAGTGTAAGTTGCATGCCCATGAAGCCAGCCCTGCTTGTACAATATGTTGGATCATTTTATCATGAAGACTGAAGAAAATATTTTTATTACGAGTGACTTACACACCTCTCAGATCCTTTCCAGTTGAAAAACTATGTGATTCTTGGTAACTCATGTATATACCATGAAACTGAAGCTCGGAGAGGTTAGATGGATTTGCCCAAGATCACAAAGAAGCAGAGTCTTGATTCAAACCCCACATCCATCTGACTAATAAGGCCATGCTTTTACTGTTAAAAATAGTCAGAGGATAATTTTATTAAGGACTGTAGATTGATCCATCCCATGGTAGAAAATAACCAATTAAATGATGAACATTATCTAGGTCTTAACGAGTTCTGGGAGCCCTGGTGGTGCAGTGGTTAAGAGCTGGGCTGCTATAGGTTTGCTATGAGTCGGAATTGACTCAAAGGCAACAGGTTTTTTTTTTTTTGATGAGTTCTGACTTTTTGTAGTTCTAACCTGATATACAATCTAGCTAACTAGATAGTTCATAACAGTTAAAGGCACACACAGTGCTAACTGTATGTCAATCTTTGCATCACACTTCAAATAAATGGTTGTATTAGTTTCATA